TGATATATATCATATATATCATATATGTGATATATATATAATAAGATTCATCGTAGGGATTTTTTTTCCTTAAGTATAAACTTTATTTCAATTAAAGGCAGCAGAAATACAAAATAAGAGGTTTTGATAATTATAAAGTAGAGACAAAAATCTCACCCTATTAATTTTCAGAACTTTAGAATCTCAAGCATTCTATTTGGATGGATTTTTATGTAAACAGCTAGGAATTTACAATACATGAGGTCCTGGCAACTCACCTTCTCTGAATGCTGTATAACCCCATCACCACAAACTAAATTTTCAATTTCTTCAAAGTGCTGTTACCACAAGAGCACTGAACTACAGAGTAATTTAAAAAGACTATACAAACTAAATTGTAACCTCTTCAATACCTCAGATTACTACTTTCATCAACCTGATAAAACTGCAACCGTGAATGTACCTCAGTTCTCTCTATGCTTCAATGGGAGACAGGTTCTAACCTCAGAGACCTTCATTCTTAAGCCTGAGCATCTCCATGCTAAGCTAATTAGTACTTCTTAAAGCTTTATTCTTTTATAACATCTGGGTAACAATAAACATTTAAAGTCATAAATAATGCAACATTAATTACAGTGACATGATTCATTTGGTAATCAGTTGTCCAAGATATACAGAGGAGTCAACACAAACAGGTTTAACAACATGCGTTCTAAAAAAAGGAAACATAATTAAATATTTCAGGGATATTAAAATAGTCCGCCATTCCGTTCAGTGAGTCTACATCCCTCATCTGATCTCAGCCTTGTCCTCTGAGCAAAGGCATCTCACAGTGATGACTAAATCTGATTTTTAATCATATACATTTTACACCTAAATGCAGGCCAACTCTCTATGTACACAAAACCATGTAAACAGTACTTTTAGGTGATAAGGTAATTCCGACTACTTACACTTCTTGCACCAGATTCCATTGTAACACGTTTTGAAACTTAATCCTATTCTGACTGTAGTATTTATCTTCCCAAAGATTGTGTCCTCGTTTGAAGAGTTGATGCTTCGTAAGTCCCAAATCCAGTTATTGCTGAGATTTCTGTCACTGAGGTTGCGTTGTCTTGATGGGGATAACGCTATTAAAGTCCAAGAAAAAAGGTCCTTCTTGTTTAGGCAAAAAAGTACTGGGAATGATATTAAAGATCCCAGCCGGTATGTTTTCTAATTCCAGGTAGCAAAATCCACACCTATAATCACCACTAGATTTCCTCTGAAACCCATAGGTAACAGGATCTCCCACCAAAGAAACTGTTACAACCTCGAATCCAACACTATATTGCCTTGGTCCTCTTAGCTCAATCAGTAAAGGCCCCATCTTTTCTATGTGGAATTGATAGATGGGGTTATTTCTGTGAGTCTCCTGGAAATTTCCACATCCTCCAGCACTCTGACCACTCCACTTTCCATTGATCCGTTTTGATAAGGTGTATGGTGAAGGAATCTTTGAAAAAGTAAAGCTGCATGCTGAATATACCCGGACTGTGTAATGGAGTGTGTTCTGTTTTTCATATTGAGAAACCACTAATGTAAAGGTGTGGGTCCCAGGTGTGGGTCCCAGTCGTGGTCAGCTTTATCTTAGTCAAGTAATGAGGGCTATTAATTCGAATTCCATCAATGTACAGAGGCGGGTCAGCTGGGTAATAAACTTTTTTCCCATCAGTCTTGTATACAACCATTGTGATAAATTCTCGATTGTTTGCAAAGTCATCCTTGTCTGTTACGTGCCTACTAAGCAAAACCCAAGCTGCAGCGCCGCCTTGTGGACACTGCACCTCCAGTTTGTACTGGGGGTTGTTGGCCAGGCTATAGGCATCTTTCACAGGTCCTTGCTTAGCATCCCAAGTACTGTGAATACATGTCGATTCTTTAAAAAGACCTGGATTCCAGCTCAAATAAATCACATCATAATACTGGCAGAGATCATCCCAGGAAATCCAAAATATTCCATTATCTATTTTCTGAGCTGTCCAGGGATCAAAGTTTAGATATTTTTGCAACTCTGGAGTCCAGTTTTTTGCATCATTTTCACTGTATCTCCCCTTCCAACGTAAATGGCTCCAAGGATTTTTCAACTGGATAAATCGCAGCCCCTTGAACTCTCTAATATCCAACACAGCGTAGGCGTGTGTGGGGACCAGGCCCCACTTCTCTCCTTCAGCCTCGGTCATCATTCCGGTTGACGCAGTGATGAGGACATCCCCTTTGTGAAATCGTTGATAAAGCATTCTGAAAGAATTATCCTTACTGAAAGTTTGGCTGTCCGAATGCATAGCAATCCTTTCTGGTATCCACCCAGTCAATGCATGCAGATCAATATTCGAGTTGGATCCTGGGAAATCATAGCCTCCCATCACTTTCATGTATGCCTTTTCTATAAGAGACACCCATAATTCACTTTTATTGTTGGAATAAGAACACAGCAGTTCTCCCTTATGATCAACAGGCAACTGGTCATCAATTATCACCTTTCTTGGGACACCATTGAGGTGAAGTTTTACCATATACTTTCCACATTGATTGTACTCTAGTTCACCATCCTTATTCTGAGGATAAATTATGCTGGTAATCAACTTTTTATTAAACCGTCTCTCATAAGCTGCACTGATAGCCAATGATGCCACCAAGGAACAATCTGATACGATTGTCTGCTTTATGCTAAAACTGGACACAGTATATATCATTGTAGGATTGTTGGTGAGGTCTTCTGGTCGTACCCACTTGGAAAACGTAGTTTTTTGTTTAGGTGATAATGGTAGCTTGCCCCATCTATCACAGAAAGGCATTGGATAAGCAAAACGTTCCCTCAGATCAACACTCATGAAAGGAACATATTCTATACCATTTATTTTTGAAGTTGTCCTGAGCACCTCTATCTCTTCTGCTGTATACCTCTGTGCTTGTGCATCACATGACTGCGGACTTATAAATGGCTGAGGCTTTTCAGGGAAAGAATTAGCTCCTAGTGGACAATGTGTTTTCACTGGAGGTGGCTTTGGTTTAATATTTGTTGACTTGACTTTGTAGAATGGTTTTGTCAAAGGCTCACTCAATGCTTCTGCTCTATCTAGTGCCTGCCGAGCCAACTGTTTCAGTTTATTTTGCAGGGTTTTATCAGCAGTTTCACAAGTTTTCAGACAGAGATCCACAGCTTCTGTATACAATTCTATAGCTTCATCAACATTCTGTTTTTCATCTTCATCAAAAGCTTGTGTAACAAGAAAATGAGCACTCTCTAAGTCTAATTGATGTTTTGATTTCAAAGGACCAGCATTTTTTGACTGAACTGCAGAATGTAGATTTTGAACTCTTTCAAGATACTCATTTAGTTTTTCTTGAATATGTTCTAGGCTTGATCCTGCCATCTCAGCATAAATTAAGGCCTGTGCTGCTTCCTATAATCACAGTACTTGGGAGGCTGAGGCAGGAGGATCCTTCTGAGTTCAAAGCCAGCCTGGGCTACATAGTGAGTTCAAGGCCAGCTTGGAACTACATAGCAAGTCCCTATCTTGTAGTAAAACACCGCCTCGGAGTAGCGGCCTTCGTGGTCGCGCTGCACCGCGAGCCGGGCGAAATGCAGGGCGTCCTGCTCCAGCGCCTTGGCGTCCATGGCCGCAAGGCCCCGCGCCGGGGCCAGAAGACGGGTCCTGACGCAGGAGCGCCCAGCTCGGCCGGGGAGCCTCGGCGCGGCCGGTGAGCGCCGAGCTCGGAGCAGGAAAGTTCACCGTCGGCGCTGGAGGGGACACGGCCGGCCTCCCCAGCTCCGGCCCGCCTCAACGCCGCGCATCTTCCGCCCGGCCCGCCTCACAGCCCGCGGTGCCCCATCGTAGGGAATTTGAACCAGCACAAGATAGATCTTGCTTCTTTTTTCCCCATTCCCATTATGTACAAAAGCTTTGTTTCCATTTTTCCTGATTTTCTATTTATCTTGTCCTTTCCTTTTTCCCTTGGAAAATCAGTATTGAGATTCCTCAAAAAAATTAAAATGAGAAATTTTATTTGACCTAGATATTACACTTCTACATGTCTTTCCAAATCAGTTAAAAACATGCGATCTCAGAAATGTTCATATCCATGTTTACAGCAGCAAAACTCATAATAGTTAAATCTTGGATGTGCCCTATATATTTGTCACTAGATGAATGGATTAAAACTGTGGTACTCATACACATTGCAATACTACTCTGCCATAAAGAGAGATAAACTTGAGTCATTTGTAGGAAAATGAATGCACTCTTGGACCATAATTTTACATGAAATAATTCAGATACATAACCTTACATATAACAACTTATTTTATATGAGAAACCTAAACTATAATTAATTTAAAACACAAAAGACAGACAACAAGAAACAGGCAGATAGAACTTCTGCAGAAGGGAAGGTAACCTAAAGATCGAGGTAGTGGTAGAGGTTGAAGGATGTTATGGTTTATCTAAATTTTTGCATAAACAGTCATGTGCTCAAGAGTGGGGCCTTTTGGGGATGAAGGGATTATTGGTGTGGTACTCTTGACTGAATCATGATGGTTAAGTTTATAGCTAAATGTGATTTGTGTGATGAAACCTGGTTGAAGGAGCTATGCTGCCAGGAGTGTACACTAAAATGGTCTTTCTACTTTCCTCTTACTTTGATCTTGCTCTCTTCTTCTTGCCTATCATAACATGAGCTCTTTCTCCTCTTCCTTGCCCTTTTGCATCCAGCTCTGTCTTAGAGCTAGCTGACTATGGACTGGAAGCTCTACAGTGAGCCAAAATAAACCATTCTTCATTATATTTATGTTAGGTATTATGCCTTAGTGATGAGACAGTAACTAAGAGGAGAAAGGGAATAAAAATAATTAATAGTTCAAGTACATGCATTCATGTACTAATAAAGAAAAAAATTAATAAAAATATGTTGCTGTAGAATAATCCTTGACATAGTCTGTACTTCCAGCAATTCAACAGTTTTATTTAAAATTTTATCATTATTTGTCATATTTTCAGTACATAATGATTATATTCCTTGTAGCAAGTTGGTACTTATAGATAACACATCTTAATTCTTTTCTTTCATCCTCTTTCTCTACTCTCTTCTTTCTTCCACATTCCCCCCAACTCTTTGACCCCTTTCTTTCACAATATATATATCTCACTTCCTATTGTTTATCTTTTTTGTTCTTTATTTATTTATACTCTATTTCTCATATAAGGGAAACCATATTTAATACTGATATTTAATACTGTGTCCTCAAACTGTATACATTTTCCTAAAAAAGATTCAGGCTTATCTGTCTTTATGGCAGAGTAGTATTTAATTGTGCACAAATGTCACATTTTCTTTATCCATTCAAATTTCAATGAACAGTAAAACTACTACCAAGATTTAGCTACTATGAGTTGTGCTGCTATAAACAGGTGTTTGCATGTATCACTCTGATACAATCTCTTTTTGGAAGATACCTACAAGGGGAATAGCCACATAGAATGGAATTTCAATTGTTAGGTTTTTGTGGAATCTCTAGGTTATGGGCCCAGCATGCTTCTGCTATGCCATGCTGCTTCTTTTGTGTGAAATCTCCATACTGACTTATATAATGATTGTACTAGCTTACTTTCCCACCAACAATGTGGAAGTTTTTTTTTTTCAAACAGCCTCTTCAAAATTTGTTCTTATTTGATTTCTTGGTGATAGACTTTTTTGGGGAGTAAGTTGGCATCTCAGCATTGTTTTCATTTATATTTCTCTATGGGCTCAAAATGTTGAACATTTTTTCGTGTATTTATTTAATGACCATTTGTAATTCTGCAAAGTGTCTATACATTTTAGGTGTAAATTTTTTCCTTTATTCTTTTATTGGGGGGGGTCTTATTTTCTTGATTTCTGTAAATAGTCTAGATATCAGTCCTCTGTCCAGTGAATAGCTTGTGAATATATTTTCATTCTGTAGGTTGTCTCTTCATTTTGTGATTTTTTTGCCTTTGCTATGCCAAGTTTTTTTTATATGATATGATCCCATGTTGATATTTGACAGTCAGAAAGTCTTTGCCTATCCCTGTCTTCAAGCATTTTGTCAATTGAATTTTCAGCATATCGTTTATATTTTAATGTTTAGATTTTTGATCCATTTTGATTTTACTTCAGTGCATGATGAGAAAGATGAGTCTAGATTCAGTCTTCATCATGTGATTAGCAAGTTTTCACAATACTATTTGTTTAAGATAATATTTTTCCTCTGATTTTGATTCTTCCCCTTTGTCAAAGATTTGATAGTGGAATTGCCTAAAGGCATTTCTCTATCCCTCATTCTGTTTCAATGATCTATATGTCTTTTTTTATGCTCATGACATACTATTTTATCACTGTAGATTTGTAGTATAACCTGAAGCATAGAATTGTGATGTCTTCTTTAACCAGAATTGCTTTCGATATACTGGGTCTCTACTGGTTCCATATTAATTTGGGGATTGATTTCTTCAGTTCTCTGAGGGATGCTTTTGGTATTTTGATTGGGATTGAAATAAATCTGTATATCAGTTTTGATAGTATGCCCATTTTAACAATTTTTTTTCTGCCTATCAAGGAACAGGGGATATCTTTCCATTTTCTGATGTCTTCTTTAATTTCTTTGTTCAGAGTACTGTAGTTTTCATTGTAGAGGCAGCTCACTTCCTTGGTTGGGTTAATTCACAATTAATTTTCATTGATGCTAATACAAATGGTAGTTTCCCTATTTCTTTCTCAATGAGTTCATTATTGTTCTACATGAGTGCTCTTGATTTTTGTGTTGATTCTGTATTCTACATTGTTGACTTTGGTTATAAATTCTAGGAGTGTTTGGGTAAAAATTTGGGTCCTCTATACAGAGGAATATGTCACCCACGTATCATGCTTCTTTAATTTCTTCCACTCCTATACATATTCCTTTCAATTCTTTCTCTTGCTGGTTTGCTATGGCTAATATTTTGAGTATTCTATTAAACAGAAGTGGGGATAGTGGTCATCCTTCTCCTGTTCCTCATTTTAGAGGAAAATATTTCAGCATATTCCCATTTAAGATGATGTTGGCAATTGTTGTGTTACAAATGGCTTTTATTGGATTGAGATAAGGTCCCTCTCTGTCTAATTTCTTAAGGGTTTTGAATTTTGTCAAATGTTTTTCTAGATCTACTGAGGGATTAATATGATTTTTTTGGTTTCCTTCCCTCTATATATAGTGTATATCAACCCATCCTTACATGTCCAAGTTGCAGCCTACTTGGTCATGATGTATGATATTTTTGTCCAGCATCAGATTTATCTATTTATTTTATGTCTTTAACCAGATAATTATTATAAGCATAGACTAACAGTCAGACTACCATATTAAAGCATATAAAACACATAAAAGTGTTATATTAAATCATGATACACTTTTAGATACATTGGACATGCAGGATTACAGTAGCTATTT